CTCTCTCTCTCTCTCTCTCTCTCTCTCTCTCTCTCTCTCTCTCCATTCATATCTTTTTAAACCAAACAAAAAAATTCAAGCCTTACAGATACTTGAAATGAATTAAGAAACAGTTGTTTTATTTTTTATCAGTCGTGTCTTTTTGCACACTTTTCTAAGGATTGAGCTAGTCAGTACTCTTAAAGAAATGGAAATGCTTGACTTGTAGAACTATTGCGAAAATCTCAGAGCTAAATTCTTTGGTTGGATCATTCTTATATAACTCCGGCGAACTGCAAATTCCAATTCTTACTTTACTTTCCGTCGGACCCAATGCGATTTACGTCTACGTTCATGCAATCTATGTAAAGTGACGCTTTGTCTACTATATGAGCGTCTAAATTGAGCGCTCACCATTACGCGTCGTCCCACGGTGTTCAGGGTCCATCTGCCACCCTGTCACTGCATCTGACACTGCAATGGTTCTCGCGTCCCATGTCACCTGTAATTCACTCCCGACCGCGGTAATCTAACGAAGGTTTCACGAAAAATCCTATCTCTTTTGGGGGATATACTCCGAGTTGCGAATTGCGTATGAAATATCGCGAACTGCGTCTTCGAGGAAATGTCGGTCTTTTGGATAAACGACAAGTAAGTGCGACGAATTCAGCAACGGTCAGATCGAGTTGTAGTGTATCGCTTTGATATACGCGCGACGCGAATTGCTTACGAAGAAAACGGAATCCGCGAGCGAAGGGAACACGCGACGCGAAGGCCGATCTCACGAAATCTTTCGACATGTGGGCGAAGTAATCTGTGTGAAATTCTCACGTACGACACGAAATATCCCTAAAGTAACGTTTTGATGATGCAGCGTAGTAGGCTGCAATATAGCTCCGCAATATTTTTGCGGATAACAGCTCCGCAATACTTTTGCGAAGACAATTCCGCAATGCTTTTGCGGAGAACAACTCCGCAATATTTCTGCGAAATTCGTTCGCGACTCTTCCGCAAATACGATCCGGTGAAATTCACAAATTTATCAAATTAATAATCGCGAACGCGAGCGTGAATGAAAAATCAAAAACTATGAAAATTGTGACGATAGAGATAAAGATTCTTTTCAAAATTCACGTAACAAAAATGTTATCACGTGAGACGTCTGTCTTCGTTCAATGGAAATTGGCGCGTGCCGCATAAATAAACAACTGCTCGCATGTCTGACTTGTGTACATCGCGTTTTTCGCGAGGGATCAACGCTCACTAGCATTGTCTCTATTGTGTCCCGCGTTAGGAAACTCTAACTCTAAGTGAAAAATTGATATCTGAAAATTTTCCAAAGACTGTGAAATTAATTTTGCGAGCAGCTTATATAATCATGTTAGATCGCTTCGCGCAAATGCCGTACGATATCGAATTTTACTTAATAACGAAGCATAAATTCTACTTTATGAAATACAATCGCGATTCAAGCTCATGCGAGAAAGAAAATTGAGAAAATTAACGACCGGCGGAAAATCTATGACGCAGGTGATGTGATTGCGCATTTTCTGTGACGCAATCTCTTTGCACGTTGACGCACTACTCGAAATACCTGGAAGATCGCATTCAATAAAACTGAATAATTTTACAAAATTTTGAATGTTCAAAGTGTATACTCAATACTTGAAGCATCTATCAGATAGTGTTGGGGTTTGATTAATCAAAATTTCCTCAGACAAAAATCGTCGACCAATCAATACTCTAAGTTAATCAATTTCTAAATATATATATATGTTGGGAGAAAAATACTTGAAAATTTATTTGCCAAATTTATGTAAAATTTGCATTATCACTAATATTATTATTTGAAAAAACGATCTTCCAATTGTTTCGAGCAGTGTGATTTTTATTAGACGGCACGTACACATACTACAACTACAGCAAAGTAAATCGCATTGATTCAATAAGCATGCACTACATCGAAAGACTTTTTGTCTTTCTATTATCAATATGTTTTTTGTTTTGACTCACCAAACCGCCGATCAGGGTAGCCACGTTCTGCTTTAGTTTCTGGAACAGAAAAATACCATTTCGCCGATCAGATTTGTGCATTAATGACGATTTGAGTGAAGAAGTTTGAAGGATTACAAAAAAAGAAATAAACGCGATATTTTTCACGCTGGAAGAATTTTTCGGAATGCATTTATAAGATATTCTTGGAATATTCCACTTTCCTTTTTCTCGACGTTGCAAATAAATCTCTTAATCAGAACAAATCATCAAAATTCTTCAAGTGGTGATGTTACTCAGAAAAAATTCTCCCCGCATGTAATTATGATTTAGCGCGATCTTTGATTCGATTCAAATTATCTCGATTTCGAGCAAGAGAATTATCAATCTTGTGGGATTTCTAATTACAAATGTTAATTAATGAAGCTCACCTTCGAGCTAACCCCGCTCGGCCCGAGCCAGATCCTCCGGCACAGCAGCCCCTAAGAGTCGGCTGGTGATCTGTTTCGTTTCTGCAACAGAAAGCAGATTTAGTATTATACATGATAATGGAGGTATTAAGGAACTCGATCTCAAACAAGAGGTTTTATCGGATTTATCGGAATTATGAATTCAAATTAGTGAAATTCACCTTCGCGCCAACTCTGCCAAGCCCGAGTCGGATCCTCCGGCGCAGCATCCCCTTAGAGTCGAGTGCTCGTCTCTGCAACAAAAAAAACAGATTAAATTGAGTATTAATTAGTTACACGATGATAGGGACATTAAGGAACTCGATTCTAAACAAGAAAATTTTCAGTTTTGTCGGATTTATAATTATAAGTACAAATTAGTGAAGCTTACCTTCAAGTCGATTCAAACAGGCCCGAGCTGAATCCTCCGGCGCGACATCCCCCAGGCATCACATCCCCTAGAGCTGCGTGATTACGTCTGCTCTATTGGATCTCTGTGACAGAAATTGAATTTAATTTAGTAATTTAATAATTTAATATCAATTAGTTACACGCGACAGTAAAACGAGGAAAAGAATTGTCGTAACGGTACGCTCGAGTTCCTTCCCAATGCGCAATAAGAAATAGTTAAATCATAGCTGAATAAAGAAGTAATAATAAATTAATTAATGAAATTAATTAATGAATTATGATATTAATATCTGATCGACAACCATATAATAATATCCGGTAGTATCAATTAATCACACACGACAACAAGACGAGGTAAGGAAATTGTCGTAACGGCACGCTCGAGTTGCTTCCAAATACGCAATAAAAACAATTAAATGACAACCGAATAAAGAATAATATTCGAATAATAAATGGATGATGATAATATTTGATCTGCATTGAGGAACTCGACCGCGACGTTTTTTTATCTCACAGATAAAAAAGTAAATGAAACGCGGTAATTATCTGTCGCGATAAGGCCCACAACACCTACTTGTGTAAGGAGTACGCGTCTTAATTTATCTTAATTATCGCCTTAATTGTCGCGAAGTTGAAACGCGGTATTAAAAATCGGCACGGAATTATCTGAAAAATAACGCGGTAGCTCTCGATATGCTCGTCTCGACGGTTAAGAGTGTTGTGGCGTGACGCTCAACACGTGCTCGCGCACGCGTGTTTACATGCCCAGAGTCCCCCCCCTCCAAAGCGCCGCTCAGTCTGAGACACGAGCGGGCCGTTACGAGGGTCTGTTTACCTAGCCTTTGCGAAGCCTAGAGTTTTTGTTAGAGCCGTTGCCCAGGTATTGTTATTACCGATTATTCGATCATCACTATTTGTTTATTATCCACTCGCAGATATTATCACACGATTGTCGAGCAGATATTATCATCACTACCATTTAATATTTGAATATTATGGTATTACTTCGTGTTTTATTCCGCGCCGACTTTTAATACCGCGTTTCGATTTAGCGACAATTAAGACAAATTAAGTCGCGTACTCCTCACGCGAGCAGGTGTTGCGAGCTTTACTGCGACTGGTAATTACCGCGTTTCATTTATGTTTTTACTTGTTAGATAGAGAAACGTCGCGATCGAGTTCCTCAGTGCCGATCAAATATTATAATCATCCATTTAATATTCCAATATTATTACTTCTTTATTCGATTATTATTTAAATTATTCGGATATTATTTAATTATTGCTATTACGCATAGGAAAACAACTCGGGCGTGCCGTTATGACGATTTCTTTACGATTTCTTTATCTTTATGAAAAGTGCGATAAAAGTACGGTGCCATCTTGAAAAATATCCGTGAACTAATTATTCGCTCTTTATCATGGTTGTCGGAAAACTTGACCGCATGTAAGCATAAACTTTTGTGCAAACTTTTCGTATCTTTTTTGGCATCAAGACTAAATTCTGAAAGTATAATAGTGATCTTTGAAATTTTCCTGATTGCAGCATCCACAATTTCGGTATGTACAACCTGCAGAATGTTTGTATTAAACAAATATTGTACTGACAACTCAAAATTTAAACATATTTTTTTCGTTTTCATCACATATTGAGCAATGCTCCAATTTATTTTTGCATGTACTTTTGTTGTATAAAATTTGTAATTCTGTGCAAGCAACAAGACGTAAACTTTGCAAAAAAAGTCAATGTTATATCGGTACAATTTTGATGTCCGGCATCCTCTTAAGCCGATTCTACATTAGCTGCAAATCGCAAGATCATAAGAAAATTTACCAATTACAGTTGATCGTTCTTCTTACGACCAAAGAAGAATTGACTGTGATTGGTTAATTTTCTTGCGACCTTGAAACTTGCAATTAATGTAGAACGACTCTTAAGGGAATGTTGAAGCTGAAAACTTTACCGACAGAACACTGACATTTTTCTGCAAAGTTTACGTCGTATTGGTATACAGAATTACAAATGCTTTTACGCAATAAAAGTACGTGCAAAAATAAATAGGAGTATTGCTTGATATGTGACGAAAACGGACAAAAAATTTTTAATGTAAAATCTCAAACTGTCAGTTAACATAATATTTGCCTAATCCAAAAGTTCTTCAGCTTGTACATACCGAAAGTGTGAATGCTCCAAACAGAAAAATTTGAAAGAACATTGTTTTACCTTCGCATCTGCATTTGGAAGCTTAAGAATATCGAAAAAGGTTGCAGGAATATTTCTACACATATATGGTTAAATTTTCCGTTGAATATAGTAAAACAAAACAACACACATTCATGTAAGTTCTGCATAGAGAGAACGATTTGTTGAATCAAATAAGTGTTTTTTTGGAATAGTCCAAATAAATTTTTTGGTCGACACAACAAAAATATTTCTTTAGAACTAAACCGCAAATAAATATTTTTGTTGCGTCAAATAAAATTTTGTTCAATAAATCAATAAAAAAATTCGTTTGGACTATTCCAAAGAAGTGTTTATTTAATTCAACCAAATCGTTCTCTCTGTGTATATACAAAAAATACGAAAAGGATAGCGTGATTATATTAGTGACGATCGTTTCTGCATTATCGACATTGTTCGAGTTCGTCATCGACTTCAGCATCCCCTTAAGAAAAAACATATACTTTCTTGTTTGAGATATTTTATATTGATATATAATACGTTATTTCAATATCTATCGAATATTTTCTATTTCTTAAATATTTTTTTCTCTCTTGGATGAAATGAATCAAGAGTCAAGTTTAAAATCACAAAGGTCAAGAGTTAACGAATTTCCCGATATTTTAGGAACAAATACCGCGTAATTGAAATGTCAATGCGTAGTTGACGTCGCGCGTTAGGCTTCGCGCTGCAAAGGCTCAGTTTCGATCCTGATGTTCGAAAATTCTGTTTATCCCGCTTCGTACGCGAGAGTTTACGAAACTGGGATTAGTTTGCAAGCATTTTGTGTGTTATCGTTGTGCCACATCAATAAACGCGTATTTAGGAGTTTGGAACTGACGTACACAGCAAAACCCGGGTGAATTGCCTAAAGCCTCAAATATATATGGCTTACCGATCGAATGACGATCAGCATTTATTATTAAATTTGCGTGCGGTATTAATCCAGGTTTGCGGTTTTAATGCGGTCCCGTCGCTCATTGGGCGTTCATAATCAAAGCATTAGAATCCAACTAATAATTCGAGTGGAAATTACGTGACTTCAATGAGTCCTAATATTTCCACAAACAAGTTTGTTTATTACAGTACTACAGAAAAATATAGGCGAATCTCACCACTTACCTGGTGCAAATTCGACTACGCGTGGGCAGTTTTATTTTATATAAAATGAACAATAATGCAACGTTGCCGCACGCTGCTAGGAAAAAAAGAGTGTTTGAATACACTCTGATTGATAACCGGTTATGACCGGTTATTTGTTCGATTGAATAATCAATCCTTTCGCTACCAATTTTGTTCTTTAAAAATACAATTCTATTTTCTACTTTCACTTCATTAAATATATTAATATGATGTATTTTTAACAAAAAAATTAAAAGTTTTATGCTTGATGTGAAAAAGTGCTCGGGACACATGTCTTACTGTTTTTGGAAGGACATATTTGTCCCAATGGTTATAAGTAGAGTGATAATATATTCTAAATACCAAAAAAAGTTGTTCATTTAATTTAATAAGATTGTTATTAATAACGAGGGAAATATGTCCCGTTGGTAGCGAAAAGCTTAAGCGAGCCTCGAAATTAGTAATTTCGCAAATTGGCCGGGCTTTTCTCAATTAACCTTCTAACTCGTTCGACTCTACTTCGAGACCCAAGTATCTTTAATTTTCCTTAATTCTGAACACGGACAACGTTCATCTTCTCATAATATTGCATATTAAATAACAAATACACTATAAAATGCGTCCAAATATTACAGATATGAATCACAAGGTCTCATATATTTATATACTTATGCAAAATACGTATATACGTATGCAAAATACCTTAATATCATCAGAATTCTTGAAAGATTTTTCTGGGGTCGAAAAAAGATCCAAAAACGATTAGAAAGTTAATGAGGAGAAAGTTAATAAGTATAAGCTACATTTTGATGAGTGTAATACTTTACGTGATTCCATTAGGTTGAAAAAGTTTGTCAATTGAAATATAAGATAAAAGTATAAGATATAAGATAAAAGTATTCGAAGAATTATTTTTATGAATAAAATGAATATTAATATCATGAATATCGACATTTTCTCGACATCCAAACTTTTTGTAAAAAATTTGATAGAGAAATAACAAATCTCTTGTACCTATATAATCTATATTAATATTATCGTAGTTATAATTGAAATCACGCTTACAACAACGATTCAATTGTATATCTGCAATATGGACTTTCGATCAAACAGGCCACGAGAAGCTTGAGTGCGTTTACAGTTTATGTAGACAAATAAAGCTCGTGTCAGATTGTTTACTGCAAGCGCCTCTATTTTGAATATTAATCCGATACACTACGGCTGTTGATTTCGAAATGAGTATTTCGAAGTACGCGAGTGACAGCATCGGATAATCGTATCGGCAAATATTTAATAAACTGATAAACATTCGAATGAATATTCAAAATAAAGTAACAATAACGGCATTCGCCAATTAAACGCTAAATAAATCTTTCGGAAATATCCCACGCCGACCACTTAATAAGTTTGGTCGATACATGGTATTGCCCGAATCGAAATTTTAGTTCTTTTCATTCACACTGCAAATTCAGTCGAACTTGAAAAGTCCATGAGAGAATCTCGAGAATCTCGAAGAAACACGCGGAAGTCGCGACGCACGAGATTTGGTCAAGTGCGAAATAATCGACGAAGTAGTTCAATCACGCGAGAGGAATGATGAGTAATATAGTGCGACATATGTAGCGCGTAATACACGTTGCATTCGCCGACTCTCGAATGTGCTAGAAAAGCGCGGAAGTCCGCGACGTGAGATAAGCTTGACCGTCGCGAAGGTCTCGGATGTTTTGGTTACGCGATCGCGCTCGGCGTATCTGTCATCCCTCCTCACCCTCCCACCCAAACCTCACTCTAAGGAGCTAAGCATAATAAAAAGAATAAGGAATAGGGAATCGAGAATAGAGAACAGGAAACAGAATAGAGGGAAAAGAATAGGGAACAGTTCAATATTAAAATATGAAACGCTTAATTCATCAACGCAGAATACAGGAACAGAGGAATAGCGTTATTTCTTGTTTTCAGTATTCCTTATTCTCTGTTCCTTGTTCCTTATTCCTTTTATTGTGTTCAACCTCTCTCTCTCTTTCTTTCTTTCTCTCTCTCTCTCTCTCTCTCTCTCTCTCTCTCGCTACAGACTAAACTACCTCGCAAGACTCGACGCCGCGTTTATCTCTGGCGTCGTTTGATCTTTCTCTTCCTTTCTGACTATCGCTGAATTTCTAACTCCCGACTAATAAATCCGACGATTCTATTACTATTCGAGCGCGTCGAAGGTAATAATCAGTACGAGAGACGCCGACTCGACACGTCGCGATAATGATCGTATATATCGAGAATTAAGGAGATAATTAATAACGTGCTCACGATATGTCCCGACGATCGCACATCGCTGTTTACGGCAATCCCGGCACTCACTTCCAGGCGAAGTTCACTTTTGACGGACAAAAGACGGATAGAACGTAGAGCGACGTTGATCGATGTGTCTATGGCGGCTGTTCGGAGTAAAAAGATCGATTTCGAAGATGGCGCGTAATTGATGCACGCAGAAAATGCACGCCGAGACGGTGTCTCGGCTCGATAAGCACGCGCTCTCGCGGACATGCCTCTTCCTCTTTTGCCAACAGACCGACGTTACCGTACGAGATTCGGTGTTACGTGCATCTCTGGCGCGCGTCTTTAGATCTTTCTCTTCCCCTCTGACTATCATCGCATTTCCAATTATCGACCAATAAATTCGATCGCCCGATTCTACTGTCGCTCCGAGTGACTCGAAGGTAATAACAATGAGAGAGACGCCGTGACTTGCGACACGTCGCAACAAGCACCGTATGTAGGCTAGAAACAAGGGCCGATATTCATGCCAGTGAGAAATGACTTACCGATCGACATCGAAAAGACGTCGAAATCGTCAAATCGACGTCTTTTCGATGTCTATCGGTAAGTCATTTCTCACTGGGATAGTCCGATCTTATATTTAAGATCATCTTAAGTATTGTCTTAAGACGTCATGAACCAATCACAGAGCCGTATTCGCATCTTAAGACATTACTTAAGACGGCCTTGAAATAAGATTCGACTATGAATACCGACCAAGGAGATAACTGTCTAATAACGTACTCACGATAGGTTCTGACGATCGCGCATCGCTGTTTTCGGCATTTTCGGCACTCATTTCCGCGCGAGACTCACTTTTGACAAAGATGCGTAGAACGCGGAGCGATGTTGATCGATGTGTCGATGACGGCTGCTCGGCAAAAAGGCCGATTTCGAAGATAGCCGCGTAAATGATGCACGTCAAGACGCGGTGTCGCGATCCGACAAGTACGCGCTCTCGCGGACATACCTCTCCCTCTCTTGCTGACAGATCGGCGTTACTGTAGAAGATTCGGTGTTGCGTGTATCTCTTTTGATTGTTCTCTTTTTCTCTGACTATCACCGCATTTCTAATTACCGACTAATAAATCCGGCCGCCCGATTCTGTTTTCACTTCGAGTGAGTCAAAGGCAATAAGAAGTGTGAGAAGTGTGAGACGCAACTCACGATAAGCACCAATCGCATGTAACCGGAGCTGAGGAGATAACTGTTAATACATATTCACGATGCACACCGATATCGCACGTCGCTATTTTCGATACTCCCGATAATGCGAAAAAACCGAACCTGGGCACACTGGCATTGTTTTTCCATCGTCTCAATCTACACTAGGTCTATCCGTGTTGCTTGCATTTTGGGCACTTTTACACCTAATGGCTCCTGTACACAGGACGCGGTAATGCTTGCCGCGCGGCGGAAGATCGCGCGACAGCCAATCAATATGTTGTTTTTCCGTAAGAGCTAGAAGATTATTACGGAAAGCATCATATTGATTGGCTGTCGCGCGAACTTCCGCCGCGTGGCAAGTATTACTGCGTCGTGTGTGCAGGAGCCATAACGCCCGTTGTACACTATTCTTTCTTGAAGTCAGCGATATACGATGCTTGTTTATGGCCGGTATTCATAGTCAGATCTTATATTTAAGACCGTCTTAAGTTTATCTTCAGATGATGAACGGATCATTTCATTGGCTACGGAGTATCTGAAGATAAACTTAAGACAGTCTTAAAAATAAGATCCAACTATGAATACCGGCATATGTGTTTACTGGATAAAAATACTCCGTTTTGATTGGTGTATTTCCATCCATCTCAGAAATACAGCAATTAGAACAGAATATTTTCATTCAGTGAGCACGAAAATAAGCATCGTGTGCCGCTGGCTTTAGAAAAAAGATATCGACTATATTTCAGCGGAAAGAACAGCTCAGGGAGCGCTTAATGATTATCGCTCCTGATTGGTAAATACTCCTGGGTCTATGAAGCATCTAAAAAAATGCTCCAATCACAGACAATAATCAGTAGGCGCTCACTGAGCTGTTTTTTCCGTGCAGGATGCAGCCATCCTCTCATTGTATATCGTTCATTGCGTCTGATGTGCAAAGGGCATGGATATAAAAGTATGAAAAGCAACCTGGGCAAACCCACTGTTAAATAGAAGATGCGCTTGGTCTATTATAGGGTAGCTTTTCAGCTACGTTAAACTGTCACACAAAAGTTTGTTGGTCACATATTATCTAAAATATCTTGTAAGATAATATGCAACCAATAAACTGGTTTTGTATAACAGTGTATGTAGCTGGGCCCTGATTCTCAAAAATATATCGCATACGATATTTAGTGAGAAGCTATGGCATACATGAAGCATAATATGAATTATAGCTTTTTACTAAATATCATATACGAGATATTTTTGAGAATCAGGGGCCTGGAAAGTACCCATAGATTTGTTCGCGTTGTACTTTTGACACTTTAAGGCTAATATTATATCCCAGTGGGAAATGACTCGTCGATCGACGTCGACTTTCTTACTGGGATATAATACGGCGTACGACAAGCTTGTCGGATGTTCTAATTGGCTGTTGGATAGAGAACTTTTGGGGTATCTGGAGAAAAAGTTAAGCATCTCAGAAAACTTGTATTCTGTCAGCCAATCAACACGTCCGATAATCTTATCGTATAATGCATGTAACAATAGCCTTACACTTAATGCCCGTTGCACACCAAACGTGATGAGCGATACCCAATGAGAATTCTTCTTTCTAAAGAGGACAGCGTACAACGGACTGTAAGTGTAAAATTGTCAAAAGTGCGAGCAACGCGACAAACTTACCTCTTGGGCTGCTGTACGCATATAGTTAATATCACGTATATTATAGAAAATGCCCATATGCGTATTATAGAACCCAGCCTTGACGTGCATCAGTTGTGTGGCCATCTTCGAAATCGCCTTTTCGCGTCGAGTAACCGTCATCGAGACATCGGTTAACAACGCTCCGCGTTCTATGCGTTCTATCATTTCGTGTGTCAAAAGTGAGTTTCGCGCGGAAGTAAGTGCCGGGAATGCCGAAAAGCGATGTGCGATCGTTGAGACGTATCGTGAGTACATTATTAGACAATTATCTCCTTATTTCTGGCTACATACGACTGATATATGTCGCGAATCGCGGCGTCTCTCAAGGCGCGATCCATTAAACGTTATAAATACTTTAAAGCGCAATACAGACCAATCATAGCTTGTTTTGAAGCGCTTTAAAGCGTTTGCAACGTTTAATGGATTGCACGCTCACACTTCCCAGTAAACATGCATATCTACAAGATGTCGAAAAGACGTCTTATACAACAAAATGTTGCATAAGATATCTTTTAGATATCTTTTCGACATCTTTTAGACATGCATGTTTACTGGGTTGTTATTGTCTTCGATTCATTCGAAGTGACAGTAGAATCGGGCGACTGGATTTATTGGTCGGTAATGAGAAATGCGATGATAGAGAAAAAGAGAAAGATTAGAAGACGCCAGAGATAGACGCAACGTCAATTTTCGTACGGTCTGTTAGCAAAAGAGGGAGAGCTTCTCTTTGTCCGCGAGAGCGCGTATTTGTCGAGCCGCGACACCGTCTTGGCGTGCATTTTCGACATGCACCAATTGCGCGCTTTCTTCGAAATCGATCTTTCCGCACCGAGCAGCCGCCATCGACACATTGATCAACGTCGCTCCGTGTTCTACACGTCTTTTGTCTGTCAAAAGAGTCTCGCGCGGAAGTGCCGAAAACAGCGATGTGCGATCGTCGAGATGCATCGTGAGTACATTATTAGACAGTTATCTCCTTGTTTCTGGCTACATACGGCTCCAGCTTGTCGCGACGTATTGCGAATCGCGGCGTCTCTCACACTTGTTATTGCCTTCGACTCACTTGAAGTGACAGTAGAATCGGGCAAGTTCTGCGAATTCGATAGGTCGATATTGCCTTACCATTCGATACCCAAGTAGCACACACACGTTTCAGGAATGTTTTATAAACGTTAGAATTAAATGTTTCATAATCGTTTCCAAAACGTTTTATAACGTTTCTGAAACATTTCTTCTGAGTAAAAATGTCCACTCAAAAAACGTTAGATGAAACGTTACTTTTGCATTGAAGAAACGGTTTATAAACGTTTTAAGATGTTTTATAAACGTTTCACAAATAAGATTTCAGAAAGGTTCTTGTTAAAAAACGTTTCTTATTGGTGCTTTACGGTTTTGAAACTATAGTTAACTATATGTTTGAGAAACGTCTCTGATACGTGTATATGTTACCTGGATATCCAATGAAAAATTTTTTATATATAATTATATAAAATTATATAAAATTATATATAATTATATAAAATTATATATAATTATATATAATTATATATAATTATGTACAATTATATATATAAATTTATATATAATTTTACATAATTACGCATAAATTTATATGTAATTATACATATTGTTATACATAATTGTGTATAATTATATATAATTTTATATGATTATATATAATTATATATAATTATATATAATTATACATAATTATGTATGGACAAATTTCATACAAAATTTTGCATGAAAAATTTTTCATCGGGTAGTTACTAGATACATAAGACGTTAGAACATTTCACACACTTTCAACGTCATTAAAAGAAAGTAATAACAAAGGGTTACAAAGTTGCAAAATTTTTTTGTTTTTATTACCATTAAGAGGATGCTGGATGACAAACTCGAACAATGTCGATAATGCAGAGACGATCGTCACTAATATAATCACGTTATCATTTTCGTATTTCTTATATATACAGAACTTACATGAATGTATGTTGCTTTGTTTTATCATATTCAACGGAAAACCTAACCATACATGTGTAGAAATATTTCTGCAAACTTTTTCGATATTCTTAAGCTTCTAAATACAGATGCGAAGGTAGAGCAATGTTCTTCAAAATTTTTCTGTTTGGAGCATCCACACTTTCGGTATGTACAAGCTGCGGAACTTTTGGATTAAGCAAATATTATGCTGAAGTTTGAGATTTTATATTAAAAATTTTTTGTTCGTTTTTGTCACATATCGAGCAATGCGTAAAAGTATTTGTAATTCTGTGTAACCAATGCGACGTGAACTTTGGAGAAAAATGTCAGTGTTTTGTCGGTAAAGTTTTCAGCTTCAACATCCCTTTAATTGTATTATTTTGTCGACGATGAAGTAACTTGTGTAATCAATAGATTCCCAGATAGTATAGAGAATTAAAAAAAATTCTATTGTATGTCACCAATTCTGAGTTCATTTTTAGATGCAAAAAGAATTCTTTTCACTGAACTGAACTCTGAAGAATTCTTTTTGCATCTGAAAATGAACTCAGAATTGGTGACATACGATTGAATTCTTTTTGAATTTTTTTTTTAATTTTCTGTACTATCTGGGTTGCTTATTAAAATTAAAAATGAAAATAAGTAAAAACAGAGAACGAAGAAAAAAATTTCGAATAAAGATTAAACGCGGATAGAATATTGAGATAATTAAATATGAAATAATTCCGAAGCATAATCTTTTTTGAGGAAAATTTAACTTGGAAAAAATGTCACCAAGTATTTTTAATATCGAGATTGGGTAACAGCATGTCACAATGTTACATCTCGAGATTCTTTTTGAATTCCTTGATAGAATCTGCAAGATTAATGTGAAACTAAAGTTTTTCAAACTTTTAATTGTTTCTCTCGCCGATAATCTTCGTTGATTCCTCGGTGACGTTCATCGGCAATGTCGATCGGTCACACCGAAATCACCGACAAACTTCTCGTCGAAGTTTCCATCGACCTGAAGCTTTCGGATAAGATCATGTTGCTTCGAGGTGGAATAGATTCAATCCGCACAAAAATAAAAAATTGTTCGCAAAAACACGAAAAAATTGTCACTGAAGAAGTTAATATTGAAAGTTTGATGAGA